CACCAGTAAAGTTGGTACCGAGCACCCTGTGCGTGTCGTGATTCGGGTGAAATTGCCCGCACATTGCGTGGACAGACGCGACTCTCAGTGAATTATCGTCTCTGTAACCCCATGCACTCACCCATGAGGATACGCATTTCCTGCAATAATGTAGAAGTTCACCCAGAGACATGTAACAGCAGTGGCAGTAGCGTCTCCAAACAGTTATATGGCACGTATTCTCCGCAGCATTGTCTCGTAGCATGAAAACTAATTGGCCTTCACAACAGACTGCGGGACAAGAAGGCTCACCTGATCGAGTTGCTAACCTTTCTCAAAAGATTCCGCGATAACAAGATAATACCGATCGCATTTACACTCACATCTGCTGCTGTCACTTCTCCTAACGCTAAACGGTTCTTGTTTAAAGCTAGCCTATCGCTAATCTCAGAGAGAATAAGATTGCTCCGATTTGAACTTGATAATTTAGACAAGACTCTCTTACAATCACACTTAAAATTAACAGATAAAATGTTCACTTCTGATTGGGACCACGTAGATAACATGACAGTTTCTTCTGCTAATTCAATGTCAACCAAATGTAAAGTTAACTTGATCGCTAATTCAACCACCTGTCAAAAAAGATGCCAGAGCCACACGTAAAAAAATTAGATGTTAACAAGATTGTCATCAATCAGAGTAACATCCCAATTTCTGACAGCCTAAAATCGGTACTAGCTAAAGGGTTGAATTTTGAAGACACCCCTAAACACATCCCAGTGGATGATATAATTGCCCAGGTCGACGTAGCCCTCAAGGCTTGGGACACATCCGGCAGACTTTGCTAGATCTGAAATCGCTGCTATCCTCAAAAACGCTAAGAAACCCATTTTCAACATCAGCAAGGACGAGCGTTTTGAACTCCAAATTAAAAAAAACATTGATGACATTGTCATCCTCTCAGCCGACAAGGGCAATGCCACTGTCATCATGGATAAAACCACTTACAACAACAAAATTCAGGACCTTCTTAATGATGGCAGCTATACCAAAATCAGAGATCCCACCAACCGCCTACCTACAAAAACCAACAATATCATCACTAAATCGACTTCTCTAATCGATCAGACCAAGCAGAGCTCCCTAAAACCTTCGACTGGTAGACCACCCAGATTTTATGGCCTTCCAAAAATCCACAAAGTAGGTACCCCGCTCTGTCCTATCGTCTCCACCATTAACTCACCGACCTACAAACTGGCCCGATTTCTGGCTGAGACCCTGCTTCCTTTCACGGGCAATTCCACCTCAGCTGTACTTAACTCAGCTCACTTGTTTTCTCTAATCAAGGACATCTCACTGTCTCCAGATGATTTGCTTATCAATTTCGATGTAGTCTCTCTGTTCAATGTACCTGTACCTGACACCATTGCAATCATTGAAGACTTGGTCCAACAAGGACTGAATCCAGATGTACCAACTTTGGTAAAGCACTGCCTTACCAACACATACTTCACCTGGAATGGTACATTCTGCAAACAAAATGAGGTTACCCCAATGGGTTCTCCCTTATCGCCAGTGGTCGCGAATGTTTTCATGGAGAAATTTGAGACAGATGCCATCCAGACATCCACCCTATGTCCTTCCTTGTGGAAGAGATACGTAGATGACACGTTCGTCATCTGGCCACATGGCCTGCCAGCACTGAACCAATTTCTCAACCACATCAATTCCATACACCCGTCTATCAAATTCACCATGGAAGTGGAAAAGGATGGCAAGCTACCATTCCTGGATGTTTTGATCGAGAAGAGACCTGATGGCTCGTTGGGACATTCGGTCTACAGGAAAGCCACCCACATGGATGCCTATCTAAATCCTGACTCCCACAACCATCCAGTCCAGAAGAATTCCCTCATTAAAACACTACACCATAGGGCCCGTTGCATCTCCGACCAGCACCACCTAGCCAGTGAGTTGGAGCACGTACACCAAGCCCTCAGGATGAACGGATACTCGGACCGTACAATCCGCAAAGCTGTCTCCCCAACTATGGGGAGACAACCTTCTGAGGATCCAATCAAACCATCACTTTGCCATACATAGCAGGGGTTACCAAAAATATTTCCAAAATCTTAAACAAAACACAAGATCCAGGTTCGTTTCAACACAGTACACAAAATCCGTGATTTAATCCCATCTGTAAAGGATGTGATTCCTGACATGCAATACCCTGGTGTCTACAAACTGAGTTGTGGTTGCGGCAGCAGTTTCATTGGGGAAACGAGACGAAATGTCTCGGACCGCGTTCGTGAACACAAGGCAGATCTGAAACGCGGTAGGACCAATACCTCTGCCGTTGCTAATCATTGTTTTAACGCTGTAGGCTCACACGAAATAGATTTATCCAAGACGGAGGTACTCTGCAAACCTACTGGCTACATTCAGAGATTTGTTCATGAAGCCATCCAGATATATAAACACAGACACAACTTCAACCGAGAAGATGGGTACAAACTGAGCAATCATTGGAAGGACGTTATTAACCAGGTAAAGTGTTAACTGCCTATGTCAGCTGTTATTTCCGACTCTCTGTGTCTCTCTATGCCTCTCTTAGATCTCTTATGCTTACATGGCCTTGCATTGTACTCTCATGCCTTGGATTGCACTCTCATGCTCACATGTCCTTTTGGACTGCACTCTCATGCTCACATGTCCTTTGGATTGCACTCTCATGCCTTTGGATGGCACCACTCTTCGTTCTTACATGAACATGCTAATCTCTCACATTAACATAACCACTTCCGTGCCCTCATCGAGGAGGCCGCTCTCCGTTCTTACATTTACATGCTAATTTCTCACATTAACATCACTAGCCCCGCCCACTTCTTTATGATCCTTGGGCTACACCCATTTCAAACCTTTTAAAAGTCTGCCTTAGCAGCAGATCATACTTTCCCACTGATGACGGATGCTTGTGTTGCGCCCGAAACGTCGGGATTATTTTATAACTACGTGACTTTACCGAAAGAACCAAAGAGTATGAACAGCTCTATCATTTCCACCACTTCCTCAGGACTGTAAAGGAGAAGAGCACCGATGCCTCCATGCGTGTTGAAAGGGCGGATGACACCTACTTGTATTTGTAAGAGCAGCACTGCGGATGGGATGTAGGAACTCTTAACCTAAGAATGTGGCCATGATGAGTCTGCCCAGATGCTGGCTTCGACCTAACCTCCCAAGGCGCCAGTGGGTTCAGTTTAATCGATTCCGGTTGTGACCAGGGGGTTGGTGTCGTTTCCGAACATCGAGGGGGCATACTACGTGATAGTCCCTGTGTGAATGCGGGAAGCAGGAGACCATGGTACGCATCGTCTCTGGCTGTGAAATCTGTTAGAGCGTGCCGGGCGGATTGGTTGTCCTGCACATGCTGGAGGAGGCTGTGACATGGTTCTGTGGCTCCGTGGGCTGACGTCCACTCACATAAAACTAACAAGCATATGTATTTGCTTATTTTCTTGCCATATCTGGCTCTCTAACTGTATGTAAAAGCATTTGCTGAATAAAATAACGAGAAGTAGCGTCACGAAAGCCACTGCAATGATTGGGTAGTAGCAGCGCATATACGAACCTAGCAGGAGCAGAGAGGCCAGTCTTGCCGGCCACTCTCGTAGTAGTGGCTTTGAATAATTAAATCTGTGGTCCCGGTCGAGTTACCCACGTGGCTTGTGTTCCCAAAATAACACTTCAATAACAAGCACCCTGGTCGGCGTCACAAACTTGTGTGAGATAGTCCCTGATACCATGCGTGTTATGGTTGAGGTTAGGAATGCTCACCATTCCTCTCTGATGAACCCATGAGATATTTGTGATTCGTAACTCTTCTGTCCATGTTTAGCAGTACAACTTTTTTGTGAGTTGCTCAGTGATCAGAGGTTGCACTAATCGTATGGATTAGGTGATTAAAGCATCCTGCACGAAGCCTGGTAACGAACCTTCTCAGAGTATTCTAACGTGGAAGCCAGGTGCTGCTCGCAGCTGGCAAAAACCTCAAACGCTAAACCATCGGGTCACAGTGGTCTCCCAGAATGCCCTCATTGCCAATGTCATCAGCTGGAGAGATAGGCTTAGATATTTTTAAACAAATGGGGAGGACGCGTCAGTGGGGAATGTTAGACATGTCGTGTACGTACGTCTCTCTGATGAAGCAGTCACTGAGTTGGAATGACGGCTCAAACTGGGCTGCGAATCAGGGAAATCGACACAGCCAGACTGAGCCGCAACATGCTGTGAATAGCTACAGGAAGAGACCACCAGTCTATGCAGGTCAGTCACTTTCAGTTTAAATCGGGTTATGTAAGAATACAAGACTAGCATGCAACCGGTGGTTTAAAGGGGTTAGAGTCCTCGGTGTTTTTATTGGCCGGGTCCAGTAATTTTGGTGACCAGGTCACTCTTGCAAAATAGACTCTCCCTGGGTCTACGAGTTCTTGCCTGGTTAAGAAAATAAACTTTGGACGCAGCTGTTGTGTGTATTTGGTGCATTTAGTGGGTGAAATGTCAGAGACGTTTATTTTCAAAATCATGGTCATGTAAGCGGGTTAATTTTTATGGTGGGCTCCAGCATCGCCGCGTCATCAGTTTGACTGGAGAAGGGTTACGTGTCGAGCCCCCCCGCGCCACCGTGGAGGTGTGGGAGGGGAGAGGTTTGACTAAGGAAGACCAGCAGCCCTGCTTGGCCCCGCTGTGTGCGGGACATAGTGTTACTGGCCTCCAGTGCACGTGAACACTCAAACGAAGCGGAACAGTCAAGTGGCGCCAACCTCGGCAAAACTAGGAATGTGGAATTTACACCACTGGCTGAGCCTGTGAGCAGGAGAAGAGCAAGTCCTCCATGCTCGTGCGAATGGGAAACCACTCGGACTATTTAATGGCGCGTATTCTTTTGGCTAACGAGTCCGATGACAAATTAATTAGAAATAAAGCTGCACGTGGACATCGTAATGAAAACTTGAATAACTTACCCTGGAAGAATTTTCTTTAACAGAGTTGCTTTCAGGGTGGGTCCTTGCGATCTGAGTTTTCTGTGCTCAGGTTGAGACTCATTTGAAAAGTGTTCTTTAGCTGCTCCACTGTGAGTGACCCGTATCGCTCCGTATTTTTCAGAATTTTTTGCAGTAACATTTCAGCGGAGACCTCTGACGTGTGAGACCATGATTGCATAGGGTAGAGGGCAAGAATGAGCATCGAGCAGTCTATCCAGGAAGGCCGCAGTCGACATGGAGAAGGCATGGTGAGAGGGCAGCCGAATTATGATGGCAGATTAGACTTCTCAGCAACCAGAAATGTCCCAGGAGAATCAGTTGCCTTCCTGGAGAAAAAGAAAAAAACATTTAAATTTTGGAAACAAAAAACATGAATATTTAATTATATGTGTGTATGTATATTTTGTGGGAGCAGTGGCGCAGTGGTTAGCGCACTGCACTATGAACCATGGTGACCAGTTTGATTCCCACTCACGACCAATAACAGTGGCGAATATCTGAACCGATCCTGGCGCTCTCCCCGAGATTGAATCGGCTTCAAATGAGTACCTGGTGCAGTGTGTACACATCAGCACTGCGGAGACAAAGGCATTAGTGGTTGGCCACTCACCCGCTCGTGTGCCATGCTGGTCTTCATAGGTGCTTGCTAACAACACTTGCCCCAACAGTCAGTTAAGGCTACACGGGGGATCTTTGTCTTTGTATATTTACATGCATGTACATGGTATGCAAAATCAGTTTTACTTATACATGCCACAAACACCAATAAAGACGTAACGTAATACAACATTATTGCACGTACAGTACTCATTCAGCTTTCCGATATGTATCCTGCCCTGCTGCACAATCTTGCGGCACAAGATTGTGTGTGTCGTTTGTGTTGATGTTTATCGGACTGTTGACCGTGGACGTCTTGCGCTCAGTATGTGGGCTCCGGCATCACCGTGAGATATCGGCTCATTTGGATCCGAATTAACGATGTCCATTTCACCCAGATAGCAGGTGACACAAAAGCATGTCACAGGCAGGCCGTGAGAAAGCTACTGTCGCACCTCCTGGCTTTGACATTCCTCCTCAAAGACACTGGTGTAACCATCAACCACATCAACACATCATCAACAGGCCACTGCGTCCGTCTCATTCATAAATGGAAATTAAAGACAAGCCAGAGTGCGATTGTGTCCATACAACCCAATCTATGGACCGTGTAGTAAACCGCTGTAGTCTGTACTCCTGCAATGAGGGGGGAGGACCAGGACAACTATATAAACCCTCTCCTGTAGCCCCTCTCGTCATGGTGATCAGACCTCAACATCGGTATTTAGCTCCTGAACATATTGCCAATCGGCTCTTTTCACATGTTGGCAATTTTCTCTTGTCTAGTTTTTTTTGCAAAAACAGCCGATGTCTCCGTGACCAACAACGCAGCAGGTTGCCAGGAAAGAAAGGTTTGGAGGTTTCACTCAAATGCGACTGCCTGACGCGCGGCTTTGGGAGAGGCCCACATGCATCTCAGCCAGCACCTATTAAGGGACTGTGTTGTAATAGGTTTTACCCTTTTAACTGGCACAAAAAACTGACATCTTTATTCAAGGCATCATGTTTGCAATAACCACAACACAAGCAGTCAAAATGCAAACAAAAGAGACAACTCTGATAATATGCACTGCCCTTGAATTTGATTGGTCCACACCAGAGACGGCTTTTCTTAGAGCCTAGTCTCCACTGGTGTTGGACCAGAAGACGTCAAAAGGCGTGCAACTCAAAAACAGCGCACTATGAGAGTGTTGAGGGCTCGGAGTGAGCATTTACATTGAGACCTCCTTTGCCAGTAACAAGATATAGTAATAGGTTTTACCCTTTTAACTGGCACAAAAACTGACACCTTTATTCAAGGCATCATGTTTGCAATAACCACAACACAAGCAGTCAAAATGCAAACAAAGAGACAACTCTGATAATATGCACTATCCTTATCCACACCCGAGACGGCTTTTCTTAGAGCCTAGTCTCATAATGTAAATGCTCACCCCGAGCCCTCAATACTCTGATAGTGCGCTGTTTTTGAGTTGTAGGCCTTTTGGCGTCTTCTGGTCCAACACCAGTGGAGACTAGGCTCTAGAAAAGCCGTCTCGGGTGTGGACCAATCAAATTCAAGGACAGTGCATATTATCAGAGTTGTCTCTTTTGTTTGCATTTTGACTGCTTGTTTTGTGGTTATTGCAAACATGATGCTATGAAAAAAGGTGTCAGTTTTTGTGCCAGTTAAAAGGGTAAAACCTATTACTATATCTTGTTACTCGCAAAGGAGGTCTCATAATGTAAATGCTCACCCCGAGCCCTCAATACTCTGATAGTGCGCTGTTTTTGAGTTGTACGCCTTTTTGGCATCTTCTGGTCCAACACCAGTGGAGACTAGGCTCTAAGAAAAGCCGTCTCGGGTGTGGACCAATCAAATTCAAGGACAGTGCATATTATTATCAGAGTTGTCTTCTTTGTTTGCATTTTGACTGCTTGTGTTGTGGTTATTGCAAACATGATACCTTGAATAAAGGTGTCAGTTTTTGTGCCAGTTATAAGGGTAAAACCTATTACTATATCTTGTTACTGGCAAAGGAGGTCTCATAATGGACTGTGTGTTGTCTTTGTGTGGCCTGGGACTGTTTTTGCTGTTGTTTTGCTGCATTGCCCAAGCTTGGGAATTGGTGTACTTATGCAATTTACATTTATGTAATTAATCTGAATTACGTAATTATTTGAAGTGATTTGCTTACCTTTCCTATACTTTGTACACCTATCGTTTTTTGCATTGTTGTTGTTACAACCTTCTGACCCGCCTCTACTGGACATCTGTGAAAAAGAGCTTCAGAGCTCATCGTATTCTCAAGGATAAATAAGATTCTAAGGTCCGCCAAAGTTCAGTCGACCGAGCCCGGGCCAATCGGCCAAAGAACAGGCGCCATGCATACTGTGCGCGATGCTCCTGATGATCGATGGGGTGACCTGTTCACATCTGCAACTCCCATGAGCACAGATGGCTATGTATGGTGTGAAAGAAGTTCAACATACATCACCGATCCTGGCTTTCTTTTCTTCCTAGCATCTTCCCCAATGTAGGGGCTCTCACTTAATTTGTCACATGGAGTTTATTTTTTTTTAATATTCCTGGTTTCTCACCGAGCGTCAATTTCTGAACGCGGTTTCATGCTCAAGGCCCGTGTTTTGTGAATACCCAATCCCCATCCAGTCGACAAACTGGGTGTGTGTGGCCCAGAGATCTGCAATTCTTGAGGTGTGCTTGTGTAGTGATGTATATTGAGTCACTACGGCATCTAGCGCTAGCTACTGGAAGAGTGGTACTGTGCATGTTAGCGTCTCTGGCACCAGAGTGTGTATTGCATAGAAGCGGGCCCTAGGGGGCATGCTTCTGGTGACAGCCAGAGAGGGCACTTCAGGACATGACAGTCTGGGTGAACCCGAGAGGGCACGTGATCAGGAGAGGGTAGCGAGGGAGGCCAAGGGGTGGCGAGAGGGACACCTGACATAAGGCCCAGAACCTTCTAGTAGGATATAGAAAGGGGCGTGGCCTAGGGCGAAGCCAGGCCATGCTCAGCGGCATAAAAGGGAAGTCCTGAGCACCAATCCGGGCTGTCTTCTGGAATCAACCCGCCATGCTACGTCTCCTCGATCTTCGGTTGTCACGTTCGGCATCATGGGTCAGGCAGTATGTTACTGACCTGACCCGGTTATGTAGTTGCCCATTGTGGTTATGTCGTTAGTAGAAGTTGTTACCACCTATGTCGTTATCTCTTACATTTATGTAGTTACCCTGTCGGGGTGTTGTAATAAACATGTTGCCTCCAAGTTCTCGTGTGTGTTTCCGTGGATGCCACTACAAGTGTAAACACATTCTGTTCATCTACAGCCGATGCAGAAGTCCGCATGCCATGCGGGTCATGTGGGCCTATTTGACCATACTTCAATATGCTGGTCAGCCATAGCCCCGAAGTCTACTCCACCCTGTACACTTCGCTCCCTGCATCTCACAAGATAAGGTGCCTTCCAGGTGTCCTGGTGAATGTCTACACCTTCATGCAAACAATCCATACAACTGAATAAGTGTGGGCTTAAGCCCAACATTGTCATTTAAATCGGTGTCTGTGTGTGGACATGCAAATGTAGCTTGTGCACAAACATGCACATGCATTAGTGTGCATTTAAACCCCCGCAACTTAGGACAAGCTTGATAACACCCCGTTAATTCCAGAGGGAAATCCAACAACACTACATTTACCATGTCCTCCAACAATACGATGCATCTCCTAAATGGTAACTTAGCCGGTGTGTAATGGGCCAACTGGCATCTGGCACCAAACGTGCATATGGGGAGCAAGACCCATAATAAAGGTTTAACGGTGATGTCACCATGGCGCCTGTGCCAGGCCAGGTGCACTTTGAGGCCACGTGAAGTGTCCAAGGTTCGCTGACAGGTCTCGAGACAGACCCAGGTGCCATGGGTTGGCTGACTGATATGACTGGTAGATGTACCAGTTGTACCAACTTGCTGCATTTCAGCCACCCGGCGCTCCGCTCATTGTTGTGAAAGTCTCTCCTCTGCCCTCTGTTTTTACTGGAGGGCGACTGCCTCCAACTGCCCAGTAACGTCCTTCACGAGCATAGATGCCAATCTTGACACCGCGGGTACCAGTCTTTGGCAAGTCCACTCAGCTCCACATCCTCCCGTACCATGTCTTGCCCGTTTTAGCCCCCTCTATGCGACCCAAACAGAAGCTGCTTGGGCAAACAGTGGCTGTGCATGCGGGCTACATGAGCTCACTATAGGGAATGTGTTCAGATCTTTCAATGATTTGTTAGCGCCTCACACAATCCAGCCTAGTTAAACCAAGGATGGATCATAGGCATGTCAGCCTGAATGTGTCTAACGACGCAAATGTTCAATTTTAAGAGTCCAACGTTTCACAAGCATCGAGAAGGGAGGGCATGACTGTGGCCGAGAAGACCTGAAGCTTCGTGCGGAGCAACATACCAGGTAGCTTCCACACAGCATTGTGCAGCCGTTGAAAAGATAATGCTGCCCGACTGATTCGGAGTGAGACCTCTACTATCAAACCAGAGCTGATAATCAGCACACTGCTCAGGTATGGGAAACTCTCCACTCTCTACAAAACTGCTCCATTACTAGCTGAGGGGGTGGAGTGTTTGGTGGCTCAAAATACCCAGGCAGGTGCTTAGTTTGGTGGTGCTGATGGTAAGACCCCACCTCTTAGTGGCACACTCCAGGTTCAACAGCAGTGCTTCCAACTCC